TAGAGAGAGAGAGAGAGTAGAGAGAGAAAGTGAGAAAACAAGCCATCAGGTCTGGAGCTTGAACCATGGTCAGCAATGTGGAAGTATCCAATGCCTCAACCACCGCACCACCTGTTAGTCCCAAATGACAACTTTTTGAAAATAATTAATTAATTATTGTTGTTATTTTAAATTTTGCTATAGGGTACATGTACTCACCAGAGAGAGAGAGAGAGAGAGAGAGAGAGAGAGAGAGAGAGAGAGAGAGAGAGAGAGAGAGAGAGAGAGAGAGAGAGAGAGAGAGAGAGAGAGAAATAAAAACTGAGAAAGCAAGCTGCCAGGTTTGAGACTCAAACCATGGACAGCTCTGTGAAAGTCTAGCACCTTAACCACCATACCACCTCTTGGTCCCAGTGACAGCTTATTTACTTATTTATTTATTTATTTATTTTTAAAGACAACATGTAAGAACTGGAAGAGAGGGCCAACAGGTAATGTGGTGGTTAAATTTCTGGATCCCATGTGACTGACTTCATGGATCAGTTCCACCTGACAGCTTAAAAAACATAGCAGGTGGGTGTGTGTACATGCCCAAAATCCTGAGAGAAGAAAGGAGAAAGGATTATGGTGTGATCCCCTGGGGGGGGGGCGGGGAGGGCGATTTCTCACTTTTTCTCTCTCTCTGGTGAGCACACATGCCTTGTGGTAAAAATCTAAAAAACAAAAGCAAAACAAAAGCTGTGGGAAATCCAACCAAGAATTGGTGCTCAGTTGGGTGGAGAGAGGGTATTGACCTGATGGTACCTGTGACGGCTGCCAGGGGCAAGCCTGACTCAGACTTTTAAGTTGTCACTCTCCGCATATGTGATCTCCAATAGGTCTTTCCCTCTGTATCTTGGCCTTTTACCTGGAAAATGATGGTTTGGGCTTGCTGAGCCCTAAATCTTGGCCTAATCTTATACATGATCGTCTTTGGTCAGGTAGCTTTTGGTATGGGGGGGTCATTTGAGATAACAATACTGATGGTAACTGTTGCAGTAGTGTTAGCTGCCCAGTGATGAAATAAGCTGCCTTCTGAGGTAATGAACTCTCTGCCCCGAGGGTTATTCAAGCAGTCATCAGAGAACACATGAAGATAATTCTTTAGGATCATTTCATTATTAAAAAATTAGATTTCTGGACTTGCTGGATCATATGGCAGTTCTCTTTTCATTTCTTTGAGGAACCTCCATCCTGTTTTCAATAATGACTGTACCACCAATGGTGTAAAGGAATTCTTCTTTCTCTACCTCCTCACCAGTGTTTGTTAATTTTTTTGGTCTTTTTAATAATGGCCATTCTTTAAAAAAATATATTTAAAAAATATTTATAAAAAACATTTTTAAAAGAATCATTTATCTTAGTTTACTACTACTGTTTTTAAATTTTGACCAGATAGAGACAGAGAGAAAGAGCGAGAGAGAGGGAAAGGGAAAGTGAGAAACCAAGCTGTCAGGTTTGGGACTCAAATCGCAGTCAACCATGTGGGAGTCCAGCACCTTACCCACCACGCCACCTGCTTGCCACAGTAATGGCCACTCTAATTGTGGTGAGATGATAGTCCATTGTCATTTTGTTCTACATTCCCATTCTACTTGCAGAGATTCTAATTTGACCAGCTTATGTTGAGAACCTAGAAATTTGCCTGAAGAATGAGTCCTGGTCCACCGGCTATTGCAGAGAGGTCAGGCAAGTCTGGGAACCCTGTGCACTATACCTCCGGGTGAAGTAGCTCACAAAGCACAGAAACTAGATCAGGGCTTGAGAACGCTGATGAGAAGGAATCTATTTAACTTTGATTAGCTCAATGTTCTCAAAGTTGAGTGTGAGGCTTTCTTGTGTGTAAAAAGAGAGTGGGATGCCTACTGAGGCTACAACAGTGTTTCTGAGAAACACCCTCCCTTGGGGATGTCACTTTGGTGGGGTCTCCTAGATGTCATGGGAGGATCTGTGGCATAACATTAAGTGGAAGTACAATGGGTCACATATGAAATATAAAGTGTTCTAGTAACCATCTTAAAAAAATAAAAAGATACAAGATTGTTTTTAATAATTTATTTTACTTAACCTAGTACATCCAAAATAGTATGTCAACATGGAACCAATATCAAATTATTAATGTGATATGTTGCACCTCTTTTCTACCGAACCTTTGAAATCTGATGCCTACTTTGCTCTCATAGCTCATCTTGCTTTGGTCTGGCCATGGTCCAAGTGCTCCACAGCCATGTGTGGCTGGGGGCTACATACTGGAAGGTGCAGATCTGTGAAGTATTTATCTGTTACAGTCAGCAGCAGCAGCAACACCTGGGAGCCTGCTTGAAGTACAGAATCTCGGGCCCTACCCGTTATCTACCGCATTAAAATTTGTGTTTAGCACCATCCCATGGGGTTTGGCACACATTAAATTGAGAAATGCTGTGTTAGATGACCTCTCTTCCAATGCCACGATTTCCTCTTTCTTAAATTCTGTGTGGATGCGGTTAGCCAATAAGTACTGCTGACATGAGAAACAGGAGCTCCCATGCACAAGAGAAGTGGTTTGGCTCATGGAATCGCAGCTTGACCCCTGACCCTGTAAGAGGGCTCTGGGATGCCTGGGTGGAGGATGCACACATCATACTGTAATGAATTGTTGTAATTTGAATCTTGGCCAGGGTCAATCCTCAGGTCTTAAATTTGCTGACTGTAACAGGGCTGTAGGCGGCCGTGGAGACGGAGCATAGCCAGGCAGCAGGAAGACCTTGAGTATGAGATGCCGTCTGTGTGCACAGGAGTGGCCTCACCTTTCTGCCTGCTTTCTGTGCCCTGAAGGTAAAATCCCATGAGTCTTTGAGGGGGCAGAGTGTGTGTGCAGGAGCCAGTGCATTTGTGGGAGTACCAGGACCACGCAGGGATTGTAGACTGTTTCTCATGATGCTGCAGGTGCTGGTTGACCACTTCCTGAGCAAAGAGAAGGGCTGTAGGCAAGGTGACTGGGGATGACTCAGGAAGAGTCCTCTTTCCTCTTCTTTGAGGCCAGATGCAGCCATTCTCGGCTTCCTCTGGGATCACACATGTGGGGCTACTGCTGTCTTTCTGTCACTGGCATCCTCAAAGGGCTTTTTAGGTATGCTCAGTTTCATTCTCTGGGTTGGGAATGTGTGCCTGGGTTGGGAAAGAGGCCAATGTGGAGGCTGAGACTTCAGTCTCTTAGGTTGGTATGGGGAGGCCCCTAGAGTAGACATCTTTGGTGTTGCTGTCTAGACACAAACACTGTCACTTTCACTCCCTTTCCATAATCTTCTGTTGCTCAAGGAGCATCTTAGACACTGTGATTAGGTGATGGAGCGACTTTTGCTGCCGGGTCTCAGTTGTACAACAGGGACTTGCAGGCAAAGGTCTACATCACCTGTCTACCATCCTTCCCCTTCTCAAACTCCCAGCAGCTCTCTCTCCCATGCAGTGACCCAGGCCCTTTTGGTCTTCCAGTTTTGATGTTGGCCCTAGGGCCCAGTTTCCTTCTTATTTCTCTGGTGGCTATATGACTAAGTTCAGGGAAGGAGACTGAGCTGTTCTACCAGATTGTCTGGACCTCAAAGTTCTACCATTTTCTTGTCACTCTTAAGAATATCTGCAGAATACTTTGGGAACTGTGGCATTTCATCAGCCCAACTCAAGCTTTTTCCTTTCCTGTTTTTGATTCTCCTATTGTCTGCCCAGCACTATTGGCCCCTATTCGCTGGGAATCGCCCTCTCTTCCTCTCTATCCATCCTCTCCTAGCCGTCCTGCTG